TCGGCCTTCTTCTTCTCCTTTTTTGAACTGCCACCTTCTTTTCCCCCACCCCCACCACCTCCTGACTTGGAAGCAGCTAAAACAGTTAATTTTTTTCTGAAGGGTTCTGACAATGGTGTAATACAATCTGGATCGCTGGGTTTTTTTGGACCTTCTCCATCGCCAGATGTTATGAAACTACACTTTTCATGGAATGGATCTACCCCCGTCTTCAGGTGTGGCGAAGCGAGATGGTATCTACTCTGTGAGGTCCATTAGAATGAGCTAATCCCAATCACTGCAGTTGATGGACAGGGTCCAAAACCCAACAATCCATTTTATTTCTTGTCTGATACCATCCCCAGAAATTTTTAAATTCGCAAACAACTCGTGGGTTCATTCACCCCTTAAATCTAACGCAGGCTTTACAAGGAATGCCAGACTCTGCTCCCACAAAAGAACATTCCCATCATATACAGGAAATAACCGAGACCAAACGTCAATAAAAGATGCAGAAAATAATTTAACAGTGTTTTGGAGAAAAACGTAAGATGTGAAAATCTGTACATGTCTGTAACAATATAGTGTAGGTAATGCATAAAATTAAAATCCTTCAGAGATTCTGTACCTTGAAATTCAGCAAACTTCTTTGGATCAAATTCTGCTGTCTTCTTGCAAAATTTGAATTCCCCTATAACAGCCTTGAATTGTGGTTGGTTCACAACTGTTGTAAACCAACGATTTACATTCTGGTACGGCTTCCTATTGAAATGAAAACGGCATAGTTGTCAACCAGACGAACATAAGACAAAACAAGACAGGTATTATCTATGGAATATACTGAAATTACAAAAGTTTCTTCACATTACCCCAAAGGCAATGAAATCAGCAGGTCGCTTCACTGGTAACTGTCATGCTACACAACTCGCTATATAGGTTGCCTAATTTGGAATAAATGTGACAGACATGAACAAGCACATATGGTGTTCTTTACTCTCACTAGTGTGAAGAACATTAAAAACACTAATAAACACAAATCTGATAGAGGCAAGACAATCTCAAGGCGAGATGAAGGAACACCTAAACACCTGAGCTATTGCATGGCCAAGGACTGGCATGCAGAAGAAAGATCATGGTAGTGTACTAAAAATAGTTAACGCCTCAGTAAATGAACTGAATTCTGCACACGGAAAGCGGACTAACCTGAAGCTTGTGTCTAGAACGTACTGATACAGCTGCAACAATGTACAAGCAACTCCAATGTCTGCCAAAGTGATAGTTTCTCCTACCAAATACGTGCGTGGCAGCAAGTGAGTATTGAGAGCCTGCAAGGCTGACTTCACATCCTCCTTTGCTCTTTCAGTAGACTGCGAAACAGAAGTTACACGTCACATAAAACAGTGTAAGAACATTCATTCACTTACAACCTAGACACCTGAATTTTCTCTACCAATATTTTTGCGAACAGTAGATGAAGGTACAGCACTTGACCCATATAATCATTTAAAATGAATTTCTATAAACCACATGCTTTAATAAACCCACTCCTCCAGTCCATAATCGGCCACTTTTCTTATTGTCATACTCCAGCTCCATATACTGACGAGTATTCCAAAATTTCACGTGCAACCCACCTGTTTATTGTACTGCATTATTCCAAGGCAAGGGAAGACCCAGGCACATGAAGCTGGTAGAATCTCACTATCAGCAAATCCTAACCATTGTATCACCTGTGCTTTCTCCAAGTCTGACTGACCACGGAGACGTGCATCGGCCACTGTCAAAAGATGAACATTCCTGAGCAGCTTAACAAAATTATTTCTCTGTGATGTTTCCTAAAAGCAATATTCTTCTCGTCATAATTTAATGTATTGATGTTATGCTTACCATAATATGCAATAGCATTACTTTCTGTCAAATATTGGCCATCTGCAGTTTCAAATGCTGGCACCTGAAAATGTTAACCGTTTGGTCAAACATAATTTTCTTGAGAAATTAATTCTTATGTATGTGTTATATGGTGTATGACAACCTTAGTGCTGTCCAATTCAATAAGTATAATTGCACAACGTGGAATTGCCAACTTTTTCTCCCTTTCTTCGTTACAAAACATACACATGAAAAAGATGTATGCATGCCTTTATGAAAGGTACTGATTAACCCACGCAATATATGTATATTTCTTACTTTCCAATACATAGTATCATGTTGATATAAAACTAAAATCACACGCAATTCCACAATGTTGCGATCACACTTGCCGACTCCACTGTAAAAATATAAATGATCAAATTATAAACGCTATATGCGAAGTGTGATACACGTGAAACATCGCCAAGGACCTACTAACCAACTGTAACAATATCTAAGTGAAAACATGAAACATCTTTTCGAAGACTTTATATAATGACCAAAGGATCTCCATATGCAACGCACATGCTGTTCTTTTGCCAAACTTGACACAATAATTACATATTTAAAGAAGTTAAAATTACTTCATAGTGACAAATGCTATATATTCACTCACATTACCTTTCCTAACGGAAACTTCTTTAAAAAAGCTTCTGTTTTATTGGTTTCTCCAAACACAAACCCAGGGGCGACTTTCACGTTGCCACCAGCATACTGGGCAGCAATTAGAACTTTATACGCCCGAAAATTCTCTGGATATGTATACAATGTCTGTAAAGAAAGAAATCAAGAAGAAGTATACCGACATTCTGTGTAAATATGATCTCTAGAACATTCGCTGTTATAAGATGATGTATAATAACACCGATTAATATTCTGTTAAAGCAACTTACACCAGACGCCATTGTAGTAATATGCGGAAAAGGAAGCCCTCCCCTTCTTTGTAATGTGAGAATGTGCACTTACCAGACATCTAGTAACAACTTTACGTACTAATTGTTCGAAACTATGTCTGCGCATGCTTCATTCTCATCCATTGACTATATTGTTCGAAGATATTTAATGGAATACACCTGTTTGCAACGAATTGGCTTTGCAATCTAAATTGTTCAATATCTACGAAACTAATGGTCAGAATCTGCACCTGCTAAATATTTTGACACCCATATAATTGAAAAGATAAAGAGAGAACTTTAAAAAAGATGGTGCGTATTAATTATAAACATGACAGAATTATGAATTGTGATATAAATGCTGAGAATGCTTATAAATAAAGGAACCGTATGTTTCCCTGATATGTCATTTAGTGATGATGATTGGTTTAGGTTTTGATAGGTTAAACTGAATATTTAACTTGCTTACTTCAGATGAGATAAATAATATGCTAATTTTGAAGCTTTGTTTACAGGGTAATGAAAGTTCCCTGCCAATGGAGATGTGCTCCAATTGTAAGTAGTATGATCATTGGCATATTCTCTAAGTTTGTTTCAGAAAAATCAATTGTCAAATTATTTTTTCTTTTACAGTTGATGCAGATGAAATTCGTAGATTGGGAAAGCGTTTTCGGAAGCTTGACCTAGATAATTCTGGATCTTTGAGTATTGATGAATTTATGTCACTCCCAGAACTGCAACAAAATCCTCTAGTTCAACGTGTCATTGATATATTTGATGCAGATGGAAATGGAGAAGTTGATTTTAAAGGTAATTTATAGTAACAAAAAGAACTTCTCTGCCCATTAATCTAATACAAGTGGAACAAACAACAGCACAGTTTGGTATTCTAGCTTGAAAATGAGCCTCTGTAATAAAATTTGTCTGAATTTTCAAATCTACATTAACACAATTTGTCATTTCTACTTGATTCACCTCAGTTATGTTACAATTTGATAATGTATATGCTATAAAGTATATGGAAGAATCATATTAATTTGGTTTGATAAATAATGTTGCAAACATCCAATATGATGTGAAAGTCAGATGACGACTCTAAAAGGTTAATGAAGTTTAATACAATTAAGCACAGTGTGATATTTCAAGTTCTCATGATGACTAGTTTGAAGATAGTTGCCTCATATAATATTGCACCATATATTGACCATCGTTTCAGACAAGTATATTGCCTGTCGTCAACGTGACGAATAACACAGCAGTAAGATTCTCTGAAACGTCAGTCACTATCTACCAGACTCTATAATGCTTCATCCCAAGTCAGACATCTTTGTTATTAAACATTGTCTGTTTAGTTTATGGTTTATTTTCTTTGTGTATTAACAGAGTTCATCCAAGGTGTTTCACAGTTCAGTGTTAAGGGTGACAAGGAGTCAAAGCTGAGATTTGCATTTAGGATCTACGACATGGATAATGATGGCTACATTTCGAATGGAGAATTATTTCAGGTATTGCAGTCATACATATTTTTGTAGCAACTAACTCTAAAATTATGGTTTGGACAAGACACACTTCCAGTCTTCTTGAAGGTCACACTTTGTTTTTCAAATGTCTGTCTAAATTTTATGCAGCTGGTGTATGATTTATGCAAATGCCAGCGTGAAAACATTATTTTTTACTTATAAATGTTGTAAACATGAGAACCACTGAATATCTACAGGGAAGAACCTAACTATGAAACCTATGCATATATGATGGAGGATACTATTAAAATACCTGTTATGAAACTTTGGATTGAGTGAGCTTAGAATTATTTAATTGTGGTTCATGTAATCACAGTTTCAGTAGCATACACTGTCAAATGATATGATAAGTAAATAATGGAAGAATATGGAGGAGATGTGCCCTATATATAATATCATGAAAATTGGACTCGGAGCTGAGATTTGGACCTGTGCCCTCCTCCTCCTCCTCCTGAATACGAAAAAGAAATGGTAACCAATTCGGCATTGACATATGGTGATGTTTATGATGGCGGAGGTAAAACTTTGAGTTATCATAAAAGCAGGAATTTCTTGACCATCTGAATAACTGTCAGGTTCTCAAGGAAGATCCTGCAATATTAACGTTACTTCAGAATAAAATGTCACTTGTCTGTCAACAGGTTTTGAAAATGATGGTCGGTAACAATTTGAAGGACACGCAGCTCCAGCAAATTGTAGACAAAACAATTTTGTTCGCCGACAGAGATGAGGATGGCAAAATTAACTTTGACGAGTTTTGTTCTGTGAGTAAATTATGTTTAAAATTCATGCATAAGAAAGTAAATGTATTTGTTTTTTGCAAGAATAGGGGAATATCACATAAGATTAAGACATTTAGGAAAAGATGAACATTTTTCATATTGCAGAAATACATTTTTTAAAACTTACACATTTTAAAATGAGACAAACTGCAACTAATTGCTTAGTTGTATTTAAAGTTTTTAACACAATTTCTTGTGAATTACCTTTGGAGTTGGAACATGCTAGATTAATGAATATCATGATTTTTTCACCATTATTAAATGTCTTTGAATGTGTTATTCTGATGAGGATTTGCTGGATAACATGTGGGAGAAACAAATGTGATTAGGAAACCTAATTGAAGAGACTAATTAGAGGATAATATTAAAATGAACATACTATATTATGAAGATGTGAGCTGAATTGGAATAGGCCTTTATGGGACATGGTGATGTGTCTTTGGGTTCTATAAAAAAATAATTTTTGGACTAGCTATCGTATGAAGCTCAGCATGCTCCGGAAAGAACAGTAAAGTTTCATATTTATCCTTTAATATCACAAGTTCTGTGAGTGAACATCATTAAAGAAAGGTGAAAGTGAAGTAAGAAGACTAGGTACAATTTTTGTAAAATTGGGCAGAAGCAGAATTCCACTCAAATTTCACTCTTAATATGCATTTCAGCAGAGTAATTTTCTTGTAAAAACAACTTTCCTGCCTTTCATGTTATTTAATGTTAACAACTTCTTTTGGTTTATTTCTTTTAGGTGGTTGGAAATACAGACATACACAAAAAGATGGTTGTGGATGTGTAATTTTATTACATTTCATTCTCAAGTTGAAGACTTCTGAAGAATGAATCTGCTACTGTTTCCATCTTCTGTATTTCAAAATACCTTGTCTTTTGGATGTTAGTTTTCTCTAAAGGTTACTCCCATTTTATCTTTCTTTCAAGCACATTCTTTTAAATAATATAAATATGGACCATGTTGCGATAATGTTGGAAATGTTTTTGTTGTGTCTGCAGTCTGTGACTTGCAGAAATTTACAATGTACAGTTCTCAAAGTCTTCGTATGTTTAAAATCACTTAGACCAGTGTTCCCCAACCTTTTTTTGTCCATGGAACCCTCCTGACCTAAAATAATACCGGCGGAACCTTATGCCAAAACAGGACGACAAGATTTTGTACAGAAAATAATGGAGAAAGAAAGCCACTGCCTTTATGATGTGTTGTGTACATAAAATTTCACACTGCATGTTGCAGCGGAGGAACAAACTGCTTTTTTCAAATATCGCTCCTAAAACGAGTAAAGGAAAGTTCACTGAATCATCACTTCGTCAGTTTTGCACTAACATAATTCTGGCATTGCTGATATTGAAAGAGAAACATTTACCTGAAGAGGAATGACATTAAACTGCCAGAATGCCGATCACTCGCGTGAGATAATGTACAAGACAACTTTCCGAGGCTGGCACACTTTGTTCTAAAAGGAAATTATGCACAATCAGAATTCAAAATTCTAGCTTTGTTCCTGGGCCAGAATTACAACTTTAAAAGTTCTAATTTTGGTCAGAAGCAACTCAGTAATTTGTGATTTTAATAAGTAAAACTTATCCACACCCGCAGGTTTCCATGGAACACTGGGAATGAACTTTTCTACAGCCTCTTGGACTTTTATGTAATTGTGTTCGCTTTCCAACTCTCAAATTATTGTCCTCGAGTCATAATAAGCCTAAATATTTATTCTTCCATCTCAAACACTTTTTGCACTAATATATATGTATCCATTGTTGTCATTCATTAAATTTGTGTGGTTGAGGGAAGTTTTTCTCTTATAATATCAAGTAAGTGTGCTGTGTACTGTCTCTCTTGGCTCATTTTCAAGAAAAGACAGCATATACTCTGGTTAGAAACTTATTATAGGAACTGGGGATAAACTTCAAGTGACTGTAGTGAGGATTTGGGGGTGACAGATCCGGCTGTAATGTGGCTCGATCCTTTTATGTGCAGATGCACTAAGTTTGGTCTTGTATTTGTCAGGAAGGGAAACTGTCAAGAATCTAAAGATGGCCGTCTTCTGGGTTGTATCGCCGTGTAGTCTGGTAGAAGTTTACCATTTCAGAGGTCCTTGCTGCCTCCAGGGTGATGAGGATCTCTGAAATGTTGGTAAACTACCATACTACATGGTGCTACAACCCAGAAGACAGCCATCTTCATACACACAGTCATAAGAACCTCAAATCCTGCTTTGCCAAGAATCTATGGAGACTCAAAGCTGACTGCCATTGTAAGTATGTCTTGCACAAACGATACTATTGCTCCAGTCTCTGTGATTTGTTCTTGATACACGATTTGGACTGGAACTTTAACCAAAAACCTGCAGTTACAGCATTCATACTTATGATGTGCAAAAGTTGTTTTAAAAAGTGTCACTCGAGTTTTCCCTTTCCTGAATGGTGCCAAGGGGGTTTAAAAAGAAAGATAACCTAACCTAACTTGGTTATCAATTGTTATATTCCCACAGAACTCTTTTGTATGTATATAATACACTTATATTACAAATCTATAGAAATGTTATAACTTAATTGTACACTTGGATGTTAAGCGACCCCCCCCCCCCCTTACAAAGAAAATGAATTTATAATTTCATATTCATATGTACTTATGTAGGATTGTTAGTGTTTTGCTGTTTCATTAACTTATCACGCTATCAGATGGGCACTGTGGCAATATTTAATGACAAACTGTATTTATAGAAATTTTTTTTTGATCATATTAGACAAGTTTAAAATTTGGTGGGGTCATATGACATGGTTATGTTTGACTGTAATTTTAAAAATGTTTAAACAGTTATGTAAATGTAACTTTTTTCAATCTTAAAATAAAATGAATCCCTTTTATTTTGAGTCTGTGATATTTTTGAACCCTGTACATTCTTCACGAGGACATTTCACCAAAGGCGCCTGCAGGACATGTTCTGTGCATGACTGTCTTGTTAGACAAGACTGAGATTTCAGGTTCTCAAGGCAGTGAGTATGACGATGACTTCTGGGATGATCTGGTAGAAGTTTACCAACATTTCAGAGATACCTACAGCTCCCTCATGCTTCAGGGCATCATAAGCATAACAGAAAAGGGTAACAGTGCTTCTTTGAAAATTAAAGACATTTATTTATCAGAATTTAACACAATTCAGAACATTTTAGGAAAAAAAATGAGCAAAATATCTTGTTTCAAGTAAGAGGATGATCCCCTCCCCCCTTCTCAACAACAGTCAAAAGGGGGAGGAGGGGGTTCAGTTCTATATGTCATAGGTTCACTTTGCCCATGCCCCTGAAAAGAGTGTACTCAAAACACAGCAAGAAACAAATTATGATACATGTACATTACACGGGGTCATATATTGCCCTACTACAAACAATGAAACTCTCAAGCAAAACATAAGTACAACAAAAGCCCCACGACACGGCTCACTCTCGGCAATACTCAATTCGTCTCCCCGGCCTTGACGACCCCGAGGGACCAAAAATAAGTCCAAAACACAGTGGTTGCCCCATCCACCAACACAACAAATCCAATACCAATCTGGAAGGGCAACTACAACGTGAAAACACATACAAACCAATGTCGCCTCAAAGGGAGTGCCCAGCCGGAGAGAACGTTGCCAACCGAATCTGTAGCTACAGCCAGAGTGAGCGTCTGTGTGGGTTCAGCCCAAATCAGTACCCCCTCCTAAACCAGCTTAACCTCCCCACACGCATGCGCACCCCTTTCAAAGTTTCGCCATCACATCAGAGCCAGATGTAGTCGGCTCAAGGAAAACAATATTGCACAAGTCTAACACTGCTAATACAATCTGGATGCAGGGAACAAACCTTTCCATTAGGTACATGCTTATTAATACAAAAATTTAGGGTTCTGAATTTTGGTACTTCTGTATTGTAAAATTGTTCTTTTAAAATGTTAAGAAGTGTGGTAGAAATTTCTAAACATTTTCAAACAACAACTTTTCTTGTCATTAATTACACAAAATCTTTATCATCTGATACAGGTAAATCCTCAACAAATGAACTCTTCCTGTCTCTCTCCAACAAAAGAGATCTTTTTCAGATCATTTGAGAGCTCACAAGGCAATGAATGATTTCTGTAGATGTTTCATTAAAATGTTATCTATAGGGGATGAAAGTAAATGCTGTAACTAATAGCAGTACGCAAGACTTAATTTATTCACTGTTTATGTGGCTGAGAACAAAACAAAGCTGTTTATACTTTTTTTTAGTGTTCTGTCTGACGACAGGTCCATTCTTCTGCCCAAAAAGAGTTCGCCAGTTTTCCCTATTCTCAGCTTCTCATTTTAATTCCTGAAACTTCATATTCTTTCCTTGTTTAAGAACGTCTTATACTTTTATGGAAAATAAATTATAGCTGTAGAGAAAGGCAGCTGTTTATTTTAAGGGCAGTGATTAAATGTATGTAATCCAATGTATGTCAGACAATAACAGATATATATAAATTTTCTTTGCTCTGGTGGAATTGTGCCACCTACATTACAAATTTCCATTTGGACTAAATTCAAGAACTGTCTTAATCTGCTGTAAATTATGAACAAACACAAAGAACATTCAATTAATAACTGACAATCAAATTATAGACAACATTTTAACCGAAAAACGCAACCTCAATCTGTATTGCAATTTCTAAAAGCTGGACATTCATCTAAAAACTAACAAAACTGAATTTTGGACAAAAACATTTGAACTGACAACCCAAAACATTATAGCTCTAACAGAATGAAGTTACTTTTGACAAACTGTGGTGAATGTTGCCAAGGAAACTAAAACAATACCATCATAGTGTGACCTTCAGCCTAATGTACAATGCCAGACATGGCAATTATCTGGGTATGATCTCGGAACTCAATGTACTAATCAACTCCCGAAAATAGGTGTTTGTTAATGCATGAAACTGTGACCATCAAAATAGACGTGGACTTACAAATTAAAGAGGCCATTCACTTCAAAGTATATCATTCTATGACAGTATTTGCTTTCTAAGGGTTCAGATTTTTATGCTTACAATCCAGGTGTAAGGACTACTCATTTAACGGTGCACATGAATGACAAAAGTAAGTCTAAATTAAAATACAGGCAGTCTCTAATTTAGAACATCTAACATTTATGACAACTGTATAATGGCAACAGTGAACTGATAACAGCGCAGTTTTCAACAAGACCAATGCAATCGAACAAAGTTAAACAACATTCCGACAGTAAGTCAGTCTATTTTCCGGTAGGACCGTGGATGTGGAACTTCTGTTATCTCAAGAATTTCTGAGAAGTTTGTACCTGTTAAACCCTGGTTAAATATGGCTCCCATAAGGGCACATATGATCAAGTGATTTTTATACTAGGAAACAAAAAATAGTATTCCTTTATGTGTAACAGTGTCTTTGTAAATGTAGGGCCTGATTACGACAGGGTTACCAGCATAGAAACAAGGACCACCTGTGTCAACAAGTACCATTGCATGTGCTCACTCCCGGCACAGATGTCTGACGTACCGATTTTATGATCCAGTTTCAGTAATGACATAACAAGAAAATGGTCTCAAGTTAAATTGAACACATAAAACATTTATTTTTATAAATAGATTTAAGATTCCTATCAAATACTCAAATCTATAAACCAAACAATGCTAATATTTGTAAAACTACCCTCTAGGGCAGCTGTTTCTAGAACACAATGTCACTCTTTTATACCAAATTCTGGCAACTAATTCATAACCCACCACATCATTTATGCATGTCAAAGCACTGATATTCAAAATGAGTAGTGGAATGTGGCAAGCAAGGGATAGTGATCAGATGGTGAAGCAAAATTTGGGATGGGGCCAAGCGACTCAGCTTCAGATGCAGTAAGCAGCCTATACTTCTTCACGAGCTTCAGACTGCCTTCGACGAGCTTCTTGTATTTCTCACTCTTAAGGCAGCTATAAACAACAGCATCACAGTTTAGAAAATGGATCAAAGTGCTAAAGATGGAAAACTATAATGAATGATATGGCTCATTCGTAAACATTAGAAATTCATCAACAGAGAAAAAACAGTGTAATTAAGTACCTTTTTAATGCTACTTTAAAATATGACATTTTATTGATAACAACTATGAGACTTGATAATTTTGATGCTTGCATATATGCACTTGGGATAAACTCAAATCTCACAAAAGTACGACTAGACATTATGATAACAGCTGTTTTAAGTGTAGTTGCTGTAGTGCTGACACAAAAACGTGAAGACGATAGGGATTACTGTGAATGTTTTGGATGAAAGTTGGGAGGTCTCATCAACTTTTGAATTGTTTTTGTCATGGCTCTATTTCACCAGAATTCAGTTTAATGGTGTCCAAAACTACAATAACACAGTCAAAAGTGTCCCACATCAGAATCTGTGTTCATTTACTTTCTGCCTTTATTCATCGGTCTTATATATCCTATGAAAAACAGTAGGAACCAGTAAGTTAAATGGATTAAAACTTCAGTTCTCACAAAAAAACAAACCTGTAGAATATGTAGTCTACAGTTATCCATGTTCCATGGTTTGTAGTGACCGCAGGGTCACGACACTTCTTCCTGTGTTTATACACTGAGCGGAGATTCAGATTATGGGTCAGCTGACCAGTTGCAAACCTGGAATGACACGACAGACAGACTTTCATACAATACAGCAATGGAAAGACCACTTTCAACAATTAATTCTCTGACTGCTGGCCCACTGTCAAACCTTCTCAACTCTAGTACAATAGATTCTATTTGTATCCAGCAGAACTATAAACAGCCATGAGTGTCCAATCCCAATCACCACTCAAATGATAAAAATGAATAGAAGGCGTAGTCTGATTCTAAGTACAAAAATATTCCAGAAGAGCTCACCCACGTACTCGAGATACTGCAGCGTCAAAGTCATAAATAACTTTTCCTTGTAAATCAATATCACAATGTACAGAAATGCAGAGAAAATCTGCCGTCACCTTTCTTTTGGCATTGGAGGAATTGTGCTGGGCCCGATGCATGATTTAAAGTTTTCCTCAAGTCCCTCCAACTTGGCATTCTTCACAAAATCCTCAAATGACTTCGGTGTTTTGCTGATCATATTTAGCTCCTTCATGATCCTCTGGTGATCCGTATTATAAGTCTAAAACAACACTCGACACATTTTTAATAAAGTACAAAATACAGAGTGAGCACAAAGGAAATTTACAACTCTAAGGCTTGTAAAAATTTAATGCCATCATACAAAAGCAGACCTACACAATTAAGCCAGCTCACTGTCAAGTACAAAAAATTTGTGCATGAAGCATATTGAGTCTACAGGCTAGTCATGAATAGGAGGTTTAAGTACCCTGGTCCCACATATAGACACTACAGTCATACTTTCACGTTCAAAACCTTATTTGGGGCATTTTCTTCACTTGTTCTTAAAACGTGTCTATATGGCCTTATTCTGTTACTTGTTAATGTTGAAGAGGCATGCCAATTTGCCACACATCTCAAAACGTTTTCTGTTTAAAAGTAACCTAAGAATAATTGCCAGACCTGAAACTATTATGACTTGTTTAGTATTACTAATTATTTATTACTCTTTGGCATTTTATTTGATTTTTCCACTGCAACCACTATGTTAGACATATGCCACATACCTTCAAGAACTTGAGCTCTTCTGTGTGACTTAGGTTTCCTGTCTCACGACTGCTCAGAATCCCCCAGTGCTGGCAAGAGTTCAATATATTCAGGCTCTTGGGAATAAGTTCTTTTTTCAGAATTTGTCCATGGAGACTCTCGGTGAGGGTCTTACTGGAAAGTCCTTCATACTGAAATCTCCCTCGAGTCAGCAGTTTATATACGCCCGTGTAGGGCTGAAAGTTCATGTCACCAGTGATTATCACAGGGCAGTATGTGGAATTCCCAAACCTGCAAGAGGCAGAGCATTTGAATTACAGTAGCGCAAGTGAAATAACACACCAACAAATTAAGATGCGCGTAAGCCGAGTCTTGCATAACATAGGAGGGTCTGTCTTGTATGTAGGTAGCACTAAAATAATATTCCCTGGCCATTCCTATATACAATAATGATTTAAATAGACCAACTAAGTGCAATAATTTAGGAGTTACTAAGTTAACACTTATAAAGTGATCATGAGCAACAGGTCAGATGGTTGTAGTGTTAAACCTTTTGTTCTATACTACACTGCTGTCAACAAAAGAATCAACACTGATTTTCCCCCATCTGTCCATCTAGCAGTACCCCCCATCAACATGCCTTCCCCCATGCTAACCAGTTGCTATTGTCAATGGGATGTTCTTGGTTTCAGTGGGACATTAAAGGCACAATTGTACTTCTTTGTTAGAAAATAATTTTTAAAGACAGGGACACTTGTAAACCACTTCTGCCAGCATATGTTTGATGTAAAACAGCTGTATGAAAGTTCACTGACAAATAATGTAACTTTACTTGATTAAAACAAATTAATATAAATATTTATTACATTGCTCCCTCCTAAGATGGCAGGGCGCAGTCTGAGTGGTTCATGGAGGCGCAGTGTAGGAGAAGTGGCCAACCATAACTCCCCCTACCCATGTAGAATCTTCCACTGGCCTGGATTGTGCACATACCTGCTTTCATATGCAAACCTCTCCACTTCTGCAAGCAGGAGCTGGGTCTGCGCCATCTTCACGTCATGACGATTTTGATTAAATAACAAGTGAGTTGTAGCTACCACCAAATGTTTGCTAGGGTTTGCTTTAACGGCAAGCTTCGCAATCAGACCTACATTGTGACGGTCAAGAATGCTGATGTCAGGCTGGTAGTATTCAACAGACGTGTGATCTGACAGATGAAACATGTCAGACTTATAGTAAATGGCAACACCGTCGACATTGTTTCCAGTCCGTTGTTTGTAAATGCCCATATAGCCTGCCAACACACAAGACAGGCATTCAGAGTATGTCACAGAATCCACTAATATTATGCACTACTAAATTCTTCAAGAAAATGTAGACTCTCATTATCTGTAACAAGGCAAATGACTAGCTCTTTCTGACGGACCCAACCTCGTAGGTACCTTCCATCTCGCCTGAAGACGGAAACAGGGTAAGTTTCTGAAATGCTGTGGTTTTTCTTCTAAACAAAGACAATGGAAAATAACAAATAATTTTAAGTGTAATCCACCATTGTCAGAACCATTTAGAATTGAATAACTTAGTTTCTTACCTAAATCCTCAAGCTGACTGTAAAATGTGTTTAACTGGTTCGCTTGCACTTCTTGGAGGCACAGAATCTGAAAAATAACTGCATTACAAGAATTGGATGGGTTTTAAATGTTTATCTGCAGCCTTGGTATGTGCAATTCAAGCGCTCATCAGCAACATACTGCAGTGATAGCAGGTCTGATGCTTTCAATGATACACACTTATCATCATATTAATGACTACCTTGGATATATTTCATTCCGGAAATTTTACATCCAAAATGTATTTAGATCAATGACATTTTCACAAGATAATACTAAACAAATGTGTCTTATATCAAATTTCAACAACTGTCAAAAGGACTCCGTAAGATACATTAATATTATCATCATCATAACTGAAATTGCTCAGTCTGTATAGTAACTGGGTTACAGGATGGATGACCGAGGTTAAATTCCTGGGAGGTCCAAATTATATTCTCTTCCCCGCGATGACTGGCTATAGGGTCCATCCAGCCTCTTACCCCAAAGTTTTCCTCAGCAACAAAGTGGCTGGGGTGTGAAGCTGACCACTTACCCCACCTAATGCCGAGATCAAGAATGTGTGGAGCAATACCTCCACTCTTCAATATACTTCCATGACATAGTGCTAACTTAAATACCAGGGACAACTTTACTACCATTTTTGTTATTCTTGTTACTGCTGCTATCATAAACTTACACACAACACATTATAGACATAATTACCTACATTGAAAAAGAGAAATGGAATTTTATTTTTCGTATGAGTGGCACCAATGAAAGCATCAACTGGTAGGAACCTGTTGCATGAACGATAGCAGATGTTATCTTTCATTTGCACAGGCAGACATTATATGGACACAATACACAGATCAATGGGTTCACGTGTGACCGATACATACATCAGCATTGGCTTCTTTGATCTCGCTGAGTAAGAGCTGGCTACGATGCTCCCACTCCAGGGCACTGCGATTGTGTTGAGTGTACAGGTGCCAATGGCTCTGAAGTAGATCCTGCGACAGTACGTTGTATGACATAATCGTGAAGATGTACTGGAATGGTGTGGACCTCATCTGCCTCGCTGGATTTCCCATAACAGAAACACATTAGCGGTATAGATCCCTGTACTGGTAGATAATAGCAGATGTAACTAAGAAAGCTCCACTACTTATTACACTTTATTCGTGTGTTTTTTTTCCGTCTAATCACAATTGTATATAAATTAAATTTATACATAAGATATTAAAATATCATACTGTGCAGTATTGATCCAGTTCTCCTCGGATAAGTTAGTACTTCTGAATACCTTCAAG